TGTGGTTCTAAGCACTTCTTACATTGTCCGCACTCTCCCGAGTGAGCCACGGGGCCGGCCCCAAGTTAATCTCTTAATTCTGATAAATTCTATCACTATGTAAGATGGCAACATAAGGGGAAACTGGATGAAGGATATAGGGGGAACTATCTGTACTATTTTTGCAACTCTTCCATAAGTCTAAATTATCTAAACACTTCTTTGATAGATCTTATCATAACAGCTAAAATGTAATATGTGGCTGTCGGTTCCAATGTGGTTTCTTAACACTACCCTGAGCTTCCCGATGCTTGCATAGCACCTGACTCCTGGTGGTTGCTCAGTACATTTTTTTTTTTTTTAAAAGATGACCGGTAAGGGGATCTTAACCCTTGACTTGGTGTTGTCAGCACCACGCTCAGCCAGTGAGCGAACCGGCCATCCCTATGTGGGATCCGAACCCGGGGCCTTGGTGTTATCAGCACCGCACTCTCCCGAGTGAGCCACGGGCCGGCCCCCTCAGGACATTTTTTATTGACTGACTAAAGGAAGAAGAATATTAGATGATCATCGTACTCTTCCCTTGAAATAAGAGGTGAGTATATTTTCTCCTTTCAAACCTATAGTTCTACTGGAATAACAAAAGGTCTTACAAGGGTCCCATCTAAAAATTTATTGTAAGGGAATTTAGTATATGACAAAGATAGATGTTCAAAGCAGTAGGTAAAAATAGATTATTTGATAAAGGGTGCAGGAAGGACTCTCTAGCCATTGCAGGGAAAAAAAGGCCAAATGCTTTGTATTTCTTTACTTCTTACATCAAAAAGGAATTCCAAATGGATGAACAATTTAAATATAAATGTGAAATTGTACATTTGGTTGGAAAAACTATGGGTAAATGTGTTAATAAACTTGAGTAGGAAATGCCACAAAATTCAGAAGCAACAAAAGAAAAGATTGACAAGATTAGATTATTGAAAACAACAACAAAATTTGGGGCAAGATCAAAATTCTATAAAGTCAAAGATCAAATGAAAAGTTGAAAAAAAATTTATCCACATGAGTGACCGAGGATTTATCTTTACTATACAAAAAGTTCTTGCAAATCAATAAAATGAACAACC